AACCCATGCCTATTCCCTCAAATATTGGACTGGCCCGACTCGTGTTAATATGGTCCGACCGGGGTATTTAATAAATGGAGTGGGCATGCTTCTGTTAGCCCATCAGCTCACGGGCTAAATGATAATCCCTGCTCGAAGGGAAGAGATATATAATGATGGTGCTTATGGTTAGTTATAAAAAGTATAATTTCTGTTAATTTGTGAATTTTAGGAAATTGGAAAGTAAAACCCAATGAGATTCATATATGAAATAATGCTTCTATGTTACAAATAAAATTTTATGTTCTTTCTAAAACAATCAATTAAATCCTTTTAAGCTATAAAAATTCTAGAGTGCATCTTAAGAATTTGGAAGATCAATTTGAGTCTTATTTTTTTAGTAGGGGCAAAATAAAACCATGTACAAATTACTAAGAACTACTACCTCAGCTCAGTCTCTTAAAACTTTGTCAAGTTTGACCGACACGAGGATTCATAAAGTAAAAACTGTGTGGTTAAGATTTGTGCAGATGAGAGAAAATTAACTGGAACCACAAATTCTTTATTTAAAAAGGAAAGTGGCAAAGTTATTAGGACAATCATAAAAGGAAAGTTGACAAAGTTTTAAGGGACGAATAGAGTAATTTATTTTGGGCGGGGTGGCATGCCCCCTTCCCTAGGGCCTCTACTATGGACCTATGGTCCTTAAGGATAGTACTACGTATATCTTTATTTAGTATGGACAAAAAATGAAGACTACCAATGGTATACACACATTGAGTCATGTGAGATTTGATAAGAATTTCGCCCCACTAAGATCGAGCAACTTAAGAGTAATATTTGATCGAGATGTCTGGTGGCCGGGGTAAGTTTAATGTCTAACAAGTGGGTAAAACAAAGCCTTGAAACTTGAAAGAGCTTAAATTTCTTTGAAATCTACTTGTAGCAAATAATATAATCATGAATAGATTGAAGTACGAGTATCAGGGAGAGCAATAAACCTTATAGAAGGAAATCATGATCAAAGACTTAGAATTGAATGGTACTACCTCTGTCCCGCTATGATTGTCCCCAGAGCCGGTCCTGTCAATTTTTGGACCTATGCGAGGTACGTTATTTTGGGCCTATATTCATGACAAACAATAAATCATATTTGGGCAATGAAGTTCATAAAATAAAGACGAGAATCACTTTATTATTATATAAATTACATATTTGGGCAAAAGTAACAACACGAGTATTGAATAAAAAGAAAAAACATTACTTAAAAACGTTTCTCGTAGACCAATGTGAAGCAAATCATTAATAATTGCTTCATATGCAACCTTCTTTCCACTAATAAATATGACAAACAATAAAATTGCCACATATAACAACAGTAAACTTTATGTTGAAAGGATAAATGAAAAGAAATATTACCACATATTGAATTCATAATTGAGCATGATTTATTAACCGATGATGAGAGTCTAAAGTTTGAAGTCTCGAAAGAATGAAGGTTTTCAAAGAAACAAAATGTTTGACTGTCAAGAGGACTCGCGCAAGAAGATTGCAAATTTGACGTCCTCTAAAACTAATATTAGGAACTCAGATATAGCTTATTGAAATTTGGAAAGAAATGAATAATTGGGGTGAAATCTGAGAGAAACGGGCTTTAAAATAATTATATAAATTTGTTATGTTATAATTAAATTGAATAAAAAACCTTAAAAGTTAAAAAGATGTGAGGACTCGAGAGACGTGTCTTTTATTTATGCAGCAACAATTGTATTGCTTTTAAAAACTACAACCGATCCTGCTAAAAATTAATGTATATAATCTGTTTTAAACTTGTTCCTGTTTAAGACTCTTTATTTATGTTTTAAATTTTCAATTTGTTAACAAAATTAATCATTAGGCCTAATTAATTGAACTTAAGAATAAAAAAAAGCCTACTCACAGTATATATAAAGAAAAAATTTTGGGCCTATTTTTTCTTCTATTTTTTTCGGGATTAGGGGATACTATTCATCTTGTACTCCCTCCGTCCCGTTGGAGGGACTCAACCTTTTGGAGTTACGCTATACCATGGTGCATGATGTTTGCCGATGATATTGTACTGATTGATGAGACACAATCAGGGGTTAAAGCAAAGTTGGAAATATGGTGACAAACTTTGGAGACCAAGAGTTTCAAACTTAAGATGAAAACGATTGAGATTGATAACCTCAACACAAGCGGTTTATTGGTTTAATCAATATAATTAATTCCCCTTGACATATTAACCATGAGATGCATGCATTAATATTCCAAGTTTACTACCGTTGAAAGAACCGGATTAATAACAAGCGTATTAACCGATTGATTCTAGTAATAATTTATATGAGAAACAATACTAGTTGATACTTTAAGTAATGTTTAAGATATTAACATGAAATATGAATAGGAATTAATCAATACTCAAGGAAGAATATTAAAATATATGAATCCTACTATGATTAATATCAAGATGTTAACTAATTGTCATCTTAGCAACACTCCCCAATATAATCATAGAGGAAGAAATAGCTATTACTATAACCAATGTCAAGATGTTAACTAATTGTCATCTTAGTAACATTCCCCAACTTTGATATAGAGATAGTATTTTGAAAGAAAGAATTAATATTCAAGGAAGAAGATTAAAGAAAATAACTCACAACTTACAAATTCATTAAGCTTCAAAGTAGCAAAACCAAGATGGAAGAGTTTAGCTCCTCATTTGGAGACTAAACATGATGAAAAATATAAAGAAAGAGCTATTCTATACTGAGCTTAGATGTACAAGGGATTGGATATCTTTTTGTGAAGGAAAGGAGGTGTATTTATAGGTTTTTGGGATGGGATTCGGGTACTCGATCGGGTATATACATGGTACCCGATCGAGTATATATGAATACCCGGTCGAGTATGCTTAGAAAGTGGTATTCGGGCTATACTCGACCGATCTTCGTTTGCAATTTAAAGGCATACCCGATCGGGTATGTCGGTCTACCCGATCGGGTATAGACATAGAATCGTGGCCAAAATCTTCCCTGCATGTTCCTTTGTCTTCGGATCTGATCCGATTTGAAGTTCCAACCTAATACCCGATCGAGTATAGCTAATACTCGACCGGGTATAGACCAAAATTCAAGATCTTCTTTTGTCTTTGAACTTTTGCACCTTCTCTTCACTTTTTGGGTTCACCAACTGTACTTTGGGTGACCAAAACCTGCTTAAGCTCAGAATATATCTAATCTAACCTATTTACAAGAATTTAACAATCTAATCTATTACACCAAAAGTGTGTAATTTCCAAAGTAAAAGTCAAGCAAAACTAATTAAAAACATAAACATAGAAATGGAAATTACGAACGTATCACTTCTCCCCTCTCTTTTCCACTCTCATCTTCACTTGATATCTTGTCAGAGAAGGAGACTCAGAGTTAGAGGTATAAGTTTCAGCATCATCAGTTGATTTTACAAAATACGTCTCAGATGATCGGGGAGAAGGAGATTGAGAACTTGTGCCTGATTAAGAGGATGTCGTTAACAAGGATATTTCATTTAAAAATTGTTCCCTCTCAAGTTCTAACGCCCATTTTTCTTTATCAAAAGCTTCTTTCAATTCAGCAAACTTTCTCACAAAGGGTGGAATGTATGCTCGTTTGGCTACAGGCTCTGAAGTTGAAGGCTCCTCTTTATCTTACATAGTCTCTTTTGTAGGTTAAAAGGTTGGAATCTCTTCAGGAGGATTCAACGGGGGTTCTTTTGTTTCATAGCTCTTGTTCAAGGCAGCATAATCAAAATGAATTTCAGTTCTTGGATTGGTTCTCTTCTCTTCTCCTTCTTCTGCACATTCCTTTTCATATGTGAAGTACATCATCTTGGTCAGTCCAAGACCCATGTAATTCATGTCATAAAGTTGAGCACAATCCACTTTCTTTAAATTACAAGGATTGGAAAGACCAAGCCCTTCTTTGGAAGTGTAGAAACGGGTGTCCTTGGGTTGGTTCAAGAAGATTGTTTGTTCAGTCTGCCCCTTTGTAGCAAGTAAGTCTTCAAGATCTTTGATCTTGCAGTAAAGAGAAATTCTTTTATTTTGAAGAAAATCGTTATCAGCTTTTGTTGTGCTTCGCTCTATCTGGGTCTGATTCAACTCCTTTGTTAGATCAGCTATTTTCAGAGTCAGCTTCTCTATTTCCAAAGTGATTTTCTTAACCTCTTCTTTGGAATTGTCCAATTGTATACTCAATGAGGTAGACTTATCCAGCTGCTTCAGTAGAACTTTGTTATTATTTGCTAATCTCTCTTCCAATTCCTTGATGATTTTGTCCTTATCTTTTGAAGAATGAGTTTGACAAATACATGAACAAAGAGATATAGCGTCCATTGTTGTTGATTGTTCAATGTTGACCGTAGACTTGAGTTTGATTGAAGTTTCTGCAATTTTCTGGACCTTGAAATGTAGCTTGGTCCTTGAGAAAAATAGTCTTAACCTTGAGAGATTTTTTTAATTAATTAATTTTAATTATTTTTTTTATCTCAAGGTTGACTCTTGGAAGCTTTGATTGTAAGGTTGACCTTTGGTGTTGAAGATTTGAGCTCAAAAATTGAAATGGGCTCAAAATTAGCGCTTGAAGTGGGAGTTTTACAAAAAATGTACTTATCCGAGAGAAGGAGAAAATGAATCTTTTTAGCAATCCCACACCTAAACTCCTTGGGAACTTTTGAGCCTGTATATATGAACCACTCCTTCCTTTTTTTTTTGGATGAAATGTAAATTTATATTAACACCCAAAAGAAACTATACATCATGAGTTCTAGATCTCCTAACCCCCCCCCCCCCCCTACAAAATGTAGGGGTAAAGAGAGGTTTTTATTCGATCTAGTTCAAATCTCAAAAATAAAATCAAAGGGGGCCTAAGTATAACATACCAAATGCCCCCCCCCCCCCCCCCCCCCCACAACAAAAACAAATCGGTGCTGCATAGAGCACGCACACAGATCAAATCAAGTCCAAAATCATGGCTATAGTTAAAGGAGGTTATAACTCACACTCCCTTAACGCAAAACATCAAAAATTAAAAATGCGATGTAAGGCACATCAACTTGATCATCAAAATCCATCATGCCGCGCCTTCAACTCTTGTGCTCAATGTCTATCTCTCAAAACTTGATCATCTCACGTGGGTATATGTTGAAGAGTATCTTATATACCACGTGTTTGATTTTTGCAATGACTTCTTCTTCCTTTTTACAAGTGTTATCAAATCGGTTCGCGTTTCTAGCTTGCCAAATGTGGTATAGAGTAGCACAGAAGGCAATCCGGACCGCTTTCCCTTTCAACTTTGATCCTTTGTGCTCCTTTAAGATCCATTTGACCGAACTCGAAATAGTAGTCATTCGATGCCTCAATCCTAGCCAATTCTTCACTTGCTCCCAAATCCTACAAGAAAAAGGGCAAAAAAAGAATAGGTGTGGCATTGTTTCCAATCCACCCTTGCATAAGTCACATCTATTAACAATATGCAAATATTCAAGATTGTCTTGGGTGGGTAATCGATTTCGGAAAGCAAGCCAAACATTAAAGGAGAACTTAGGAGGGATATATGATTTCCAAAAAAAACTCATCCAAGTCCTAGGTTCTCCTTTAACTCTTAAGAGATCATAAATCTTTCCGGAAACAAGCTTCCCATTTATAGATCTTGCATTACGTCCCATGATAGTATCATTTAGGTTGTTAAAGCACCCCACAATTCGGTCACGGATATGGCTCAATTTCTTCATGAACATTGAGTCACGATTGTGTGGGATAAAATCCCACACACTCCTACCTTTGAGGTAGATCCCATTGACCCATCTAACCCATAAGGTATCCTTTTTCCTATGGACATCCCAAAGTGTGCGAGCAAGGAGGGCATGGTTCCAAGTCTTGGCATCATGAATGCCAAGACCCCCCTCCTCTCTTGGAAGGCAAATGTCATCCCAAGCCACTTTAGAATATTTCCCACCCCATAAAAAGATACGACAAATAGAGACAATCCTATCAAGGATGGTTTGGGGGACCGGGAAAACTTGGAGCCAAAAAGATTGTACCCCTTGGATAACCGATCTTATTAGCTCTAATTTTCCGGCATAGGAAAGGGTCTTTGTGTTCCATGCAGCAAGAAATTCAGATGTGGAATCAATTAGAGGTGCATATTGTGGAACCGAAATCTTAAGTGGGATTCCAAGGTATTTAACCGGGAATTGGCCACGCCCAAAATCCACAAGGGCCATGATCTCCCTTAGATCATTATCTTTAATTCCCCCCATGAAAATATTGGATTTATCATGGTTCACCATTAAGCCCGATGCATCCCCAAATTCTTTAAGGGCATTGACCAAGATTTCAATTGAAAAAGTGTCACCCCTAGAGAAAAGAATAAGGTCATCTGCATAGGCTAGGTGGGAAATGCCAAGTGATGCACATTGGGGATGGAAATTAAAGTTTGGTCCTTTGGTTCTAAAAGTAAGCATGCGAGAAAAATATTCCAAACACATAACAAAGAGCAAGGGGGACATCGGGTCTCCTTGTCTAATTCCTCTCTTTCCTTTGAAAAATCTGTATAGCAACCCATTCAAGGATACCGAAAACGATGCGGTTGTTACACATTCCATGATCCAAGCAATAAACTTCTCCGGGAAGCCCAAACCCTGCAAAACACTCTGAAGAAAATCCCATGAGATAGTGTCATAGGCCTTACGCAAATCCACCTTGATCATACATCTAGGTGAGATTCGCTTCCTCATGTATCCTCTAACAAGTTCCTGGGCAAGGAATATGTTATCAAACATGAGGCGACCGTCAACAAAAGCTCCTTGGGCTAGGTCAATCAAACCCGGTAGGCATGGTATGATTCTAGCGGCAAGGATCTTCGTAATGACTTTATACAACACATTAGTGCATGAAATCGGTCTAAAATCTGAAACCTTAGGTGAGTGGGTCGTCTTGGGGATAAGTGCAATAACCGTGTGGTTAATTTGCTTTAATAACTTTCCCGAACGAAAAAATTCCTTAGTAGCCCGTACTAAGTCATCACCCACAACATTCCAATTCTTTTTTAAAAAGGCGGAGGAATATCCATCCGACCCCGGCGCCTTGTCATCCCCTATATCAAATAGAGCCGCTTTGATATCTTTTGTTTCAACAGGGGCAGTGAGGCTAGCATGAACACTAGGTTCAATTTTGGGGCCATAATCCAAAATTCTTGGGTCAATTGGTTGGGTTTCCCCAACGGAGCCAAATAAGTCAACAAAAAAATTAAAAAATTCATTACCAACTTGCTCCAAAGAGGTGGTGAGACTCCCATCCTCAAGAGTAATAGCCGCTATGGTATTCTTTGTAGTTTTCCTCTTCACAATTGCATGAAAGTACCTTGTCCCCTTATCCGCTTCAAGGATGTGAGTCGCCTTTGCCTTTTGTTGGAAAAAGCTACACTCGGCCTCACTAAGAAACCTTGCCCTCTTGGTAGCCTCCTCCAATTGGCTTTGGAGACCCTCATCCAATGGATATTGTAGGACAGGCTTATGCAATCTTTGAAATTCTTCCTTCGCCATTTTAGCTTTGTTGGAGATATGTCCAAATTCATTGGTGTTGAGGTTCTTAAGTGGCCTTTTAAGAAACTTTAGCTTCCTCACCATGGAGAATTGAGCCGTACCTTCAATCACTTGATTCCAATGCTGCCCTACTAAATTAGCAAAATCATGATGCTTCATCCACATATTAAAAAATTTAAAAGGTTTAGGCCTTGGAGAGGAATTAAGGAGTATTGACACAACGGAGGCCGTATGGTCAAACTCCACCTCCATTTCATGGAAATGGGCCGTACACCTTATGCTATTGATTCCCCAAACATCGTTGATCAAAACACGGTCAAGCTTGGCCCAAAGTGCACCTTTGTTCCAAGTAAAGAACTCTCCCGTGGAGGGTGCATCTTGTAGGCTAACCGCGACCTTAAAGTCAAAAAGGTGTTGCATTACATACGCCGTAGGGGGGGTAGGACCCACCCTTTCATTAGGCGCAGCAATACAATTAAAATCACCACAAATCAACCAAGGTTCAACCACAAGGTCTCCAACCAAGGTTAAATGATCCCACAAGGCCTTTCTTTCAAGAACCGTGTATAAAGGATAGACAAAAGTAGTCAAAAACGTTGTTTGCGTGATACAACAAGTACATCTAGCATGCATAAATTGCTTGTCTATTTCCAAAAAAACACAATTTATTAACATCGGGTTCCACATGATCACCATGCGTCCCCCACCAATTAGATCAAAATTATTCTTAAAAATCCAAACCGGCCATTTATTTAAAATATAATTATTTAATGCGGCCAAGGTCATTTTAGATTCCAAAAACATACCAAACAAATATTATTTGAATTGATATAAGAAGCAATTAAATTATGTTTAGAAGCCTTATTTAGGCCCCTAACATTCCATACCAAAAACTTCGTCATCAAGTGAGGTAAAGATCTGTGGTGGGTCCTCCACCCTCGGTTGTTCCCTTCCTTTCTTCCCTTCGCTTCCTCCTCATCATTTCCTAGAAATATGCCTTGTTCTCCTTGCTGTTTTCATCAAAGAAAGCTACAACATTAGGAATAAAAAGAAGAGGGTCGAAATCATACCAAGAGGCCTTTCGCTTGACTCTCGGAAGCGTGAGGAGACATTGATGCGTGAAGCTCATTCCCGGGCTCTTATCTCCATCCGCTCTCTTGAAGTCCGGCCCAAATCTTTCCTCAAAGTGACTAAGTGGAAGATAAGCCCTCTTCATAACAAAGACGCTTCTCTTGCCCTTGTCATCAAACTCCATTTTGGTGACCACGTCTTCCATGTCCATCTCATATACACTTTTCACCCTCTTGCCCCCAATATCCTTATCCGGGGTTTGAATGCCATCCACAAATTCCTTTGTTAGATGGTTCATCTTTAGAATAAAAGGATATGTAGGCTCCTTGGGCTTAGGCGCAACCAAAGTCTTGTCCACCGGTTTGGGCACCAATTGAGTAGAAGTGGAGGCACCCTTCCCATTATTAGGTTTCTTGGCCTTAGTTTTCTTCTGGGCGACTAGTTTGAAAGGAGGGTCTTCACTAATGCCCTTCCCCTTATCCATAGTCGTGCCTCCCTTGCCTTGATCAACACCCGTGACCCCTTTCCCATTAGTTTTGGCCGCGGCAATAGTGAGTGGTGGCAAGTGCGGGTTAAGCACCTTACACTCAAATGGATTATGGCCAAAAGCCTTGCAATGATAGCAAAATTCAGGATAGGTCTCATATAGGACCCTTTGATTATATTCCTTTCCCGAAAGAGGAATAATAGGAAAGTTAAGCACCGGGGCCTTTGAGACATCCACCTCAATGAGCACTCGTGCATATTTCGTGAAAGTCTTCTCTTGGGTTACCTTGTCGGTGGTGATTGGTACCCCAATTTGGGATGCAATCTTCCCAATTTCCGTAGCCCTCCAAAGCCTCAAGTGTAAGTTTGGGAACTTAACCCAAATCGGCACCCTTAAGAATTCTTCACTTCCGAATGAAAAGTCATCAGAAAGTGTTTTAAGGAACATAGTCTTCCCATAAAGCACATAAGGGCCCTCGGTAAGAACCTTAACCCGATCTTCATCACTCTTGAATGTGAAGATAATCCATCCTTTGCTATGTGATTTGACATCAACTCGAACCCCCCATTTCTTTGTCATATCAAAGATAACCTTCATGCCCGGGAATCTACCCGAGAAATGCCCAACCAAGCAATAGCCCCAAATGTCAATGAGAGATGGTACCTCAAGATGGGAGAAATCAAGCTTTTCTCCGGAGGGGGGGAAGTACTCAAGTTTGAGACCATTTGAAGGTGCCCGGTTGTCTCGAAATAGAGAGGCATATGTTAATGGTTCTTCCTCAAAATCATCTTTCAAAGAAAACGTGTCCTGGGACCCAAGTGAGATAGACCCCTCGGGTTCATCATTATCCTGGAGGTTGTTTTCGTCCGAAGTTTCAATAATAGGGGCATCCCTATCCACCACTGTTTTGAGAGCAAGTGATATCTCTGGGGATGCCGTGGCATTAGACGAGGTGGAATCCAACCCCAGGAGTTTAACTGCATAAGTCCCCTGTGATGCCGCAGTGCTTGATGATGCCGCGGCATTGCCTCTTTGTCCCCCTATACCCGCGGATGCCGCGGCATTGGTTGACCCTGGTGGTTTTTGTGCCTCAACTTGAGCTCCTTGTCCCACAGTTCCCACAGATGCTGTGGATATGGACACCGGTTTGTTTTGTGCCGCGGCAAACGCACCAGTGGAGTTGGAGAAGATTGGGTCTGAAGCCGGTATAACCTTCTTCATGGGGGCTTTTTCCTTCCCCTTTTCCATTTCCAACGCAGCTTGCTTGGCCATCAAGTTTTTGATTTTATCCTGGAATTGCTTATCCTTCAGGGGTGGGGTCCGCAGCTGCTTGTTCTTCCTTGTCATGGGCAAAGCTCAATGAAGGAGAAGATGAACAGTAGCATAGACGAACATGAGATTTCGCGCACATTTGAGCCTGTATATATGAACTACTCCTTCCTTAATATTAAAAGGTGAAGGAGAAGAGGGGAGCTCTCGCGCACATGAGATTTCGGCCTTCAGTTCAAAATTGAAAAATCGCACCCCCTGCGCAGGCGACACCTGCGGACACGAATGCTGCAAAATTCAGCGGGTCTCAAAAGACAAATGCCTGAATCTCGAGATTTTTTTAAATGGGCTTCGAGAACCTCAATCTCGATATTTTTTGTCGAGAACCCGAACCTCGAAATCTTGAACCTCGACAAATGCCTATCGAGATCTTGAACCTCGAGATCTTGAACCTCGAGAAATGCCTATTGAAAACCTGAACCTCGAGATCCCTGTCTTCTTCGTAAAACCTGCGAAAAACCTCAAAACTTCGAAATCTCAAAAATCCTAAACACGGAATTTCTGCCTTCTTTATACCAAATGTTCATCGAAACCTTCCAGCAAACGCAGAAAAACGTCCAAACAAGGTCGATCAAGCCAAAAATAGCAGAAAATTAAATTTTCGAAATATTTCTTCAACGTCAATGGCAGGTTCGAAAAATGCAGAAAATATTCAATCGATTTCACGCTCGGCTCTGATACAATTGTTTGTCCCAACATCAATCAACAATCATACAATATAATAGAAGCAGAGAATCACAGAATAATAGAGATATATTGATCGTTGAAACCCTCTTCTGTATACCGTATAAGCTCCGAGAAAGATATGAGCGTTAATAACTTGTGAGACTTAGGGTTTTCTTAAGTTAGCATCCTTTTATACATAAGGATGTCTAACTTAAGGCTTACAAGTGGGCTAATGGGCTAGAATACATTTGTGGCCCATATTACACATTTAATTAATAACTACACAAATACAAAGATATTTAATTAGATTTGACACCATAAAATATTCCTAAGAGAATCACCTTGCTTTATTATCCTAATTCCAAGGATAACTTCCGCTTCACCCATATATTTCATGGAGAAGTTTGAACAGAAGAAAGCTTTTGTCTCTTTCACTTGCCTCAAATCAGTGCCAAATATGAGCATGTCGTCCACATATAAACAAATAATGACACCATTACCATGCTCATTAAATTTACTATATACGCATTTGTCTGATTGGTTTATTTGAAAACCATTTTTCAACACCACCTCCTCAAACCTTTTGATGTCATTGTTTAGGTGCTTTTTTTAGACCATACAAGAACTTCACAAGTTTACAAACGTTCTTTTCGTGTCCTTTAACTACAAACCCTTATGGTTGTTTCATATACACCTCCTCCTCCAATTCACCATTTAAGAATGCAGTTTTGACATCCATTTGGTGAATCACAAGATTGTGAATGACTAATAAAGCAATTAACAATCTTATGGTAGTTATTCTGGCTACCGGCGCATATGTATCAAAGTAATCAATACCATGTTTTTGTTTAAAGCCTTGTGCAACCAATCTAGCTTTAAACTTGTCAATGGTACCGTCTACTTTCATTTTCCTCTTGAAAATTCATTTACAATCGATTGGTGTGCAACCGGGTGGTAAATCACTTAGAACCCAAGTATTATTGCCCATGATTGAATCCGTTTCATCGTTCACGGTCTCTTTCCAGAAGGAATCATCTTGTGATTTCATCGCCTCCTCAAAAGAGAGGATCCTTCTCAACACTATAACAATATAGTGTTTGAGTTACGAGGGTCTCTCTTGATCCTTCAACCAAATATAATTGGAAATCGTGACCAAATAACTTTTCTTTTCTAGCCCTCTTACTCCGTCTAATTCAAGGCTCATTTTCGTGATCCTTTTCTAGTTCATGAAAATGTGAATTACTCTGACTGAGATTAACATCCTTTGGTCTAGGAATAGAAGTGATCCGCTTCTCATCGAAAAGAGCATCCCTAGACTCAATAACAGTATGAACCGCGATTGAGTCATTTGTTTCAATAACATAGAATCGATATGATTTACTATGTTCAACATATCCAATAAAAATGCACTCAACGCCCTTTTCACCTAACGTTTTTCGTTTAGGTTCCGGTAATCTCACGATTGCCCCTACAACCCCATACCCTAAGATAACTTAGTTGGGGTGTTCTCTTATGCCAAAGTTCATATGGGGTTATTTTATTTCTCTTGTTAGGAATTCGATTAAGAACATAACAAGCGGTTAACATAGCATCACTCCGAAATCCATTACTTAATCCTGAATTAGACCACATGGAAGTAACAATTTCTTCTAAAGTTCTATTTTTTCTTTTAGATATGTCGTTTTGTTGCGGCGTGTAAGGGACTTTTGTTTCATGGATTGCTCCAACGGATTCAAAAAATTTAGGCTCATAATATAATATTCTCCTCCTTTGTCAGTTCTAAGCCTTTTTACTTTCTTTTCGGTTTGTAACTCAACTTCCGTTTTAAAAACTTTGAATTTATCCATTGCTTCATCTTTTGAAAATAAAAGATATATATAACAATATCTTGTGCAATCATCAATAAATGCGACTACGTATTTTTTATTTCCAAAAGGAGTGCTATGGAAATCACACAGA